CTTTTCCTTGAAGAATCTTTTTAAAGTTAATTTTCTTAGAAATTTTTGATTATCTAAATATAAATTAAAAGGATTACAATTAGAAGCAGGGGCAAATTTTAAACCCTTTTTTAATAATGATAGTTCTTGTGTAGAAAGAACTATATCAGATAAATTAAAAATGCCTTCAGAATCATTTAATTTTGTCTGTATGACAGATGTAATGGAGTGTCTTCTTCCTCCATTTCTAGATGTGGTCTCTTTTTTATGGGGGATTTTAACATTTGGAACCTGTTTTGAGTATGGACTGAATACTGCGTCTGATCTAACTTTGGGTCTTGCTCCTTGTCTAAAAAAACTTCCTGATTTCCTTTAAAATATCTGGGATGGTTAGGGGATTTATTTGGTCTAATATAATTAGAATTATGAGGATAAAGTTTTGAAGCATATGAAGCTTTAGAACCATTGTCCGTATAGGTGTTAGAATGAAAATTGGAATTGGAATTAGAAAAACGTCGTCCAAAAGATTTTTTAGGACGGAAACTAGAAAATCTAGTAGTTCTGTAATTTTGAGTGGGATGATTATCTAATTGTCTTTGATCATTCTTAGATCTGGGCCAATTGCGTTGATTCCCCTTTTGGTAATCATCTTGATCTCTTTTGAATTTAGTAGATTTGGTACTGGAGATTTTATCATCTACCACTTTAATCTTATCTTTCAGGATCTTGTAGTTATTTTCTACTGCTTTTGGTTCTTTGTGTGTGGATATATCTATCTCCACTTTATTAATCTCCTCCTCTAATGTCTTTAAAGATCTTTTTTGATAATTAATTAAACTGATCATATATTTTTTGGAACATTCATCATTGGCATTATGCCAATCTTGCATTAGGATTTGATCATCTAGGCCAAAAGCTGGAGTTTTTAGAACTCTTAGGCCACGAGGGATGATATCATATGCTAAATATTGTTCTAATGATGTAATTTCCCACCATTTACGGGTTTCCTTTTCAAATAATCGCTCCAATTGAATAAATTTTTGGTTCAAAGAACTATCTGAAAATTTGGAACCTCCCCGAAACAAAGCATCAACTCTTTGTTTCCTCTCATTTGATATCTGATTCAATTTTCGTAAGGAACAAACAAAGGTCTCTTCTTTCGGTAATATTCAGACGACTTCTCTGTTTGCGCATGTAACGGACCGTTTTGCACAAAAGGGGTAAAAACCGTTTAGGCGATCGGCCCCCTTTCCAGAGATACAGGCACAGCTACTGCAGAACACCAAACTCCCAAACTGGATACAAAATAGCACTCCAACTCCCGAACTGGAACCTCCCAAATAGCTGCTAGCAGACGAACAGGAAAAGCAGACAATCAGCTTACACTCCTGGCAATCAGTCTCTAACAGCATACAGTGAATCCCCCCAAGAACGAGACAAGGCTCCGTGTTGAGGGTCAAGCAGTGGTCTGAGGTGCTGGCACACCCAGCCTGGTTTTTATTACAGTCTTGCAAATACAGGACCGCCCACAGGGAGGTATAAAATATCCAGTAACATATTAGTTACAACCCACAGATTCCCTCCCCCTTATCCTGAGAGGTAACCCAATACACATACCTTTTACCACAATGCATCCTGGCTTCCTCTCCTCTGCCCTGGAGATAAGTGAGAAGTAATTCAATTATCTCCCAGGACAGGGACAAGACTCAATTATGCACATGGTGACACAAAGACAGTAAAACACTTTAAAATACATAAAGTCACCTTTTACACATAACACACAGACATTTAACATATCCCCAGATAGCTCAGGTCTGAGGGCACATTATTAAGCGAATGGCGCTCAGACCACACGAATACAGTTTAATCGCCATGGAGCCAAAGTCTTTACAGTCAGTTTCATACGAATGGGATTCCTATCTGGGGTATAACACATTCAAACAAATCTACCGAACCCCAGGCAGAAAAGCACGAATGAAGCTTTTCTGCAGGAAAAAAAGATGTCTTTTAACAGGGGGCCATAGTCCAAAGGCAGCAGGCGAGCAACTAGGCTTCTCCAATGCAATGTGGCGAGATTGGTCTCGTCACAGCGCATAATATGATTTCTCATCTGTGCGTCAGCTCCTCTCATCTCCCTCCTCAATTCCCCTCCCCACCTTTTTTATCCCTTATTTCTATTTTTAAACCTTCCTTATAGCAACACCCAATAGTAAGGCTTAGCTAGGTAGCCCACTTACTATAGCCCACTATAACAGACAGGCACACATTCATACACACATACACACACACAGACAGGCACACATACATACAGACACACACACACAAGACACATACATACAAACAGACAGGTAAACATACAAAGACACACACATAAGACATACATAGACACATACATACAAAGACAAGACATACATAGACACACACAAGACATACATACAAAAACATATGCACACAAACAAACACACACAAAATATTTCAGTCACCCTCCTGTTTCCTACCTTTTAGGTGCAGGAGGGAGACTTTCCCTGGGGTCCAGTGTTGGCTCAGGTGCATGGGAGTCAGAGTTCCTACTCTGACTCCCTGGTCTTCCTCCCGCACGGTCTGCTTGTTAGCTGGGAGGAGTGACGCGCAGTCACTTCCTCCCAGCATGTGATGTAATAACAGGGGGCCCAGTCGCGCTGTTAAAGCGCCCAGCGCTGACCAGGCCCCCTCTCAATCCACATCCATCGGGTGGCCCTGACAGTATGGGCCACACGATGGACCCCTTAGACGGCAAATGGTGACGGCAATACCTGGTCGCAGGGGTACCGCCGGCTCACACCCGCCAACCCAATCTCTGAAATCCCTACCGCCCACCTGGAATCCTGGAACGCCCACTAGTGGGCAGTAGGGACCAGGTTGACGACCCATGATATACACAATCTATACACAGTCTAATAGAAGTCCATACACTGTGCTTAAAGGGCCAGTAGGCGCATAATAAAAATCCATCATACCCAAATACTGTCTTTAAAGGGTAATACCCCCAGGGCCATAGTCACATGGCAAGAGGCAGGCAAGCAAGCCCCTCCAAAAGCTCATGGTAAACTCTCTTAAAGTGTTGAGTTTGCTACACACTTCCCTGTCCGTACGGGCCCCATGTTATTTCCCCATTTCACCAAACTATTTGCCAAACGGCTGGCCACCCAGCGGGGAAGTGTGCTGCTTGTTAACCTTTTGGCCCCATTAGAACGTTGTGGTTAACCGCAGACACTTCCCCTTGTTAATGGTCGACTGGGTGGTCGTCGTTCGTATGAACGAACACGAGGCGGTGGCCATCTTGGACATACAAACGCCCAGCGGTGTTCCTCGACGATTTAGTGGAACTATAAACGGCTACTATTTTCACACGAACACCGCTGAAAGTCGCCAACCTCCCTTCATCTATTTTCACATTTATACGAACACTGTCCATTCGGTACATTTTCATACGAATAGAGCCACCCCAGATAGCCATCCCATGGAGCCCATTCGTATAACGAAAGACTGTGTGGCTTTGGATCCATGGCGATAGAACAGTGTGTATGGGATCTGATCGCTATTCGGGAATATTGTGCGCTCAGATCCAGGCTATCTGGGGATTAATTGAATGTGGGAATTCGGTTCGTGAGTTTTAAAATTATATATTTTTATGCATTATCGTGAACATGTACAAAATGGAGATTTTGCTCTGTCCTTGGAGATAATTGGATTACTTCCCAATTATCTTCAGGATAGAGAGGAGGGTCTACCACACCTAAAGGGGAGTGATTATAGCCAAACTGTTCTCAATGGCTACTGTATTACTTTTGTCCTAGTTTTCCACCAGGTCCCATGGTGGAGTGTCCACCTGGTGGAAGACCTGCATAAATACCGGGCAGGTAGCCCACATTAAATCAGATTTCTGCTTGACCCTCAGTACAGAGCCTCGTCTAATACTTGGGGGGATTATTCGTATGGTTTTCCTGTTTGACTATTTGGTGTAAGGATTTCGTATGATTGCTGGTTCGGCTGTTTGGAGCATTTGCATGGTTTGGAGCATTCGTATTGTTTCCCTTGTTCGGCGGATTAGAGTGTTGGTAGCTGCCTTTGTATTTGGGAAGGGAACATCTCAGACGGTGTTTAACCGCTTCTATACCCGGGGTGCCATTACAATAGTTATTTAAAAATCTCAAAACACTTGTCATATAGAAGATTTCTATACTAGGATAAAAATCCTACAAATTAAATAGTCAAATAAATAAGGACGCTCACTGAGTATGCCGCTGGTCTAAAGAGACACGAGACGATATTGACAATAGATAGTCAAATAAATTGTAATAAGGGGAAAAAAATAAAATATATATATATATGTAAAGGATCCTTGCATTCGTGCAGCGATGATCCTTGCAGCTTCTCCCAAAATCCAACTGAAACGAAGTGATTATAACTCCCAATCCCCCAAACATGAGTCGAGACTTCATGAAGGGCTAAAACGATCTGATTTACTGTGGGCTACCCGCCCGGTATTTATGCAGGTCTTCCACCTGGTGGACACTCCCCTAGGGGACCAGATGGAAGACTGGGACAAAAGTAACACAGTAGCCAATCACAGTGGCTATAGCATAAGCACTCCCCTTTTCCATAAATCACTCCCTCTTTTCCATCCTGGAGATAATTAAATTAAGGTAGCAAAAAGAGCCTTAATTATCTCCAGGAAGAAAGAAACATGTATTTTCTTATTTAGCAAAAACAGAATAAAAATATATAACTTTCTTTTTACACAACATAAACTTTAAGTTCCACATATCCCCAGATCCCCACATTCTAGGCGAATAGCGCTCAGATCCCACGAACACAGTTCTCAGAATCGTCGACCGAAGTTTGACTTTCACCGGCCGTTCGTGTGTTTGCAGTCGACTGCAAGTTCCATACTATAGCTATCTGGGGTCGGTCACTTTCGCATACTTTAACGCACGAATGAAGTAGTACCCCTTCATTTGTGTGTTTTTCCACCGTATGAACGAGGATGGGCGAAGGTAGCAGCGGTGTTCGACAAAATAGGTAGCCAAAATCAGTTCCAGGGAATCCTCACCATTTACCGCTGTGCGTTCGACAATACAAAATGGCGATTGCCACGTGTTCGGTAGATGAACGCGGACCACCCGCTATTCACCAATTAGTCTGTGGTTAACCGCAACAGTCAGGGTGGTCAATAGGCGCCACACGACCTCAGTGGGAGGTCGGTGGTTCGGTAGTTCATTCGCATTTATTGTTATTTCCACGAAATCCCGCTGTAATTCTCCAAATAACCGAACAGGCTTGTTCGTATAGTCTGTAAATAGGGGATTTCGTTACAATATATATGTACTAATTAAGTTTTATAAGGGTAACAAAAAAAAGGGAATACATATGGGTAAGTGTATTCAAGACTACCAGACAGTTTTTGTAGAGGAGGAGGGGGGACTAGCATTGTTCAAGGGGTGCTCTCAAAGGCACAACAGAGTAGGGAAACTTATTGTCTGCAGGACTTTTTTCCTAACTTCCCCCCTTTTTTCACAGTCTGCTATACTATACCTTGTAGCGGATGGCACTGGGCTGTCCTGAGAATTATATATGTTTGAATGCATTCGTGTAAAATGGCAAAGTTATATGTGTTAAATGTATTGTATTCGTCTGAATGTTAGGTAGTTTAATTCCCTTAGTTTGTTCGAATGAAACTACCGAACAGTCAGACCTCCCCTGTGTGAAGTGTGCCTTCAATTACCCGTTGCAACATTGTTGCGAACGGGTAATTGACAAGCTGAGTAGCCGTCCTTTGTTCTCGGGGGGTGGCCGCCCTTCGGGAAACTAACACGTGGCAGTGGCCATTTTAAAACTCCCGAACAGCGGTGTTTTGCCGTCGAGTGTCTGGAACTCAAATCGGACACTCGACTAGGCGAACACCGCTGAGACCTCCACAAGCCCAGTCCGTTTGGTTCCAAACTACCGAACGGCTCCTCGTTCGGTAGATATTTCTATCTACGGAACGAGGAGCAAACCCTCCCTAGTCTCTGGCGAACCCTCCCTAGTCTCTGTAGCTAGAGGCTTTCGTGCAGTTTATTCCCTTACTCCAGGACCGACCGCAGGGCCCCATCGCATGGAACCCCATTCGGCTGTTCTCTCCAGTGCAGTCGGTCATTTTATTCCCTCCATAAATTTCCCGAACCCCTGGTCTGATCTGGGTGATTTTTGGATATGTTGTTCACCAAGATCAGGGCTACCAGGGGATGTATAATTTAAAGTGGTACCCTTAGGTTTAGGGGTACATCCAGAAAGAGGGGGAATTGGTGTCCTGGATAAGGGGATTATGATGCAAGCTGAGGGGAGGAGATGTGTAGGAGGTTACCAGAGCAGGATTGGCTACTGTACAAATTAATGGAAATCCCTCCCTTGCATGGGAGCAGGCTTTATAAGGCCACTGTCTGAATAAATCTTTAGTTCTGCTCCTGATACTGTGTGTCATCCAGTTATTGGGATTGCTGTTGGGATACTGCTGTGTTGTTTTGCCTGCTGGATACTTTACCCTATGGATTTATAATTGCTTGTTCCTGAACCTCCCTGGGATCTAAAGTGGAGATAGGCTGTGTAATACCAGCTCTCCGCTACATACCTCTCCCCTCTCAACTAACACAAAATTTTACAAATGTAGCCTTTGTCCATACGGCTACATTTTTGTGTCACATATTGCTATATATGGAGTGATTACATACTTATACTCACCCATATGTATTCCCTTTTTTATTACCCTTACAAAACTCAATTAGTACAGATATATATATATTTCCTTATTACAATTTCTTTGACTATTTATTTACAATTTAATTTGTAGGAGTTTTATCCTAGTATAGCAATGTTCTTTATGACAAGTGTTTTGAGATTTTAAATAACTATATTAAAAGTGACATTTTCTTTATTTACTCTTGGGTTACTCATCACACTAAACAGTGTACCCTTGCGTTTTCTATTCTTTGCATTACAGAGAAAGAGGTTCTATTTCAACGGTCTGAAGTAAAAACAAATAAGTCGATGGGGCCTGATGGAATACACACAAAGTTAATAAAAGAGCCTAGTGATGTACTCACAAAACTGTTTAATGGATTTATTTAACCAATCATTGTTACCGGGAGCAGTCCCAGAAGATTAGAAATTAGCTAACGTTGTGCCCATAACGGCAACCCAGGTTGAAGATGAGTGTATGCCGCTGGAGACGTCCTTTTTCCCAGTGAGAGGCTGTGCTGCAGAGTAGTCATGATATCCCATCCGCTGGATCAGTGTAGAGAGAAGCAGAGCTCTTAAAAGAGCTAGTGATTATGCTGGTTGCAGGTTCCCTTAAATAATGAGACGAGGCTACATTTTGAAGGGTTAAGCAGAACTGTTTTAATGACCACACAAGCAGTTTCTTTTATACGTATGTGGCGAAACCGACCTTGCCACTGGCCATTGGAGAAGACTGATTGCCCGCCTCCTGCCATGTGACTATGGCCCCTGGGATGTATTGCCCATCAAAGACATGATTTGGGCTTAATGGATTTGTGTTGTGCTACTGCTGGCCCTTTAAGAACCATCTGGGGACATACTGTGGAGTTACTGGGTGTCCACCATTTCATGTATCAGAGGCACATGGTGAGAACAATGGATGGCGGCCATTTTAACTCACAGACACTGTTTGGACCTTTCTACACGGTGCCATCTCCTCGGTATTTGGTGCACAAAGACATCGTGCAGTAGTTTTAAACTATACAACAAGGGACACATTATACAGTAATTATTTTTCATATAGCCTATATATGTTCTGCAGAATCTTCATTAAACTTTATCTTCCAAACTACTGAACGAATCTGGGTGAATTTTGGATAGGTGGTTCACCCAGATCCCCCGGGTTCCTAGGAGGTGGTTATGGCATGTTTTGGGGTCCCTGTGATATGTTTTATAATACTGTATTTCTCTGCCTGTGATAATTATATTAACCATTGTGTTCAGTAATCATATCACAGGCAGAGGGGAGGATTTTGCGTAAGAGTGTCTGTGTGTATTGATTGGTTGTATTTCAAAACCCTGTGGGCAGTACTATGTTTGTGGATTGTGAATAAAAGAGGCTGTATGTGCCAGTAAAGTCAGTTCTGCTTGACCTCAAAATGTTGTGTTGTATCGTTATTGGGGTAATTGGATTGTATGCTGATTGGCAGGAGTGTAAGCTGATTGTATGCTTTTCCTGTTCAGCTGCTTACAGCATTCAAATGCTTGAAGGCATTCATATTCTTCTCTTGTTTGGTGATTGTGATTGTGGTGTTTGCTGCAGTGCTTGGAGTCCTCAGGAAGTGCTAGGAGCATCCTTCAACCCGTTACAACATATTTTCCAACAAGGTTACCACCCACGTGGAACTTGTTGGATACCAAAGACAAACATAACAGCCAATCATTTACAGGTTTACAGTTAAAACACACCCATTCATCACTGTACATTCCTCCCCTCTGCTTGGGAGATAATTGAGTTAATTGTTATATCAGCTCAATTATCTCCATGCGAAAAATATACTTTTTACACACTTTCTGTAACTTTAAAACTATACCTACAATTCTAATACAAAGACAGACCGCATACACATTTTCCTGCCCAAAGTAGTTCCACAGATTCAGGCTGTGCGGTCGGTCTATTTTTCCCTTCACATAAAGTAGCAATTGCACGAACTGATCCGTTCGTGCCTACTGACAATGAATGCGTCCTGTTCGTGAGTTTATGCTCCCAAAATAGCCCTCTGTTCGTATGATTCTAGCCGAACGCACAGAAGGTAGAAGTTTCAGTGGTATTCGTGGAAAGGATAGCCGAAATTCGTTCCACGCGTTCGACGTCCAAACACTGCTGAGTGCGTTTGACTAGACAAAATGGCAGCCGCCACGTGTTCGTACAGATGAATGCCGACGACCCTGTTGATCAATTAGAACATTGAGGTGCTTGCAGTGTTTAAAGGTCAGGGAGGTTAATGGGTGCCACAATCCTGCTCTGGGTGGTCGGTTGTTCCAACGGAAAATTTGTGATACGAACGGATCTTAGCCACATACAGATCCATTCATTTTAGGTGAATGATTTAGACGGATGTTTTTTTTTTCTCATTTACATGAATCAAAGACAGAGGGTCTGTCACAAAGGGTAGGAGAAGGGGGGTTATACAAGGTTACAGTCTGTGGTCCAGGCAAAAAAAAAAAAAACTTACAGTGCCCATTTACAAGAGAGGTAGTAGAGAGGAGTTGGGCAACTATTTGCCAGTACGCCTTACTTCAATAGTTGGGAAAATAATGGAAACCATGTTAAAGGATAGAATTGTTGAACATCTAAAAATCACATGGATTTCAAGATCAGAGACAACATGGGTTTACTTCTGGAAGACAATTCCAAACTAATCTTATTGGTTTTTCTGATTGGGTAACTAAAATAACAGATCAGTGTGGTGCAGTAGACATTACTTACCTAGATTTCAGTAAGGCTTTTGACACTATCCCACATAGAAGGCTTATCAATAAACTGCAATCTTTAAGTCTGGATTCCAATATTGTTGAATGGGTAAGGCACTGGCTAAGTGACAGACACCAGAGGGTTGTAGCCAATGGAGTATATTTGAAGCTTGGACTTGTTACCAGTGTGGTACCTCACGGATCTGTACTTATACCCATTATCTTGGACATAAAAACTCAAAGGCAGAGTAAAGATTATTTGATACAATATTAACCTCAACATCTAAAGAAAGGGATTTAGGGGGTAAGTATTTCAGATTATTTAAAGATAGGCAGACCAAGTAATAGAAAAGAAAACAAAAATAAAGTGCGCTGTGCCTTTAAAACCGAAAGCAATTAATTAATAAAATACCATATACAAGTGGATAATATTCACATAAATGACCAAAATAAAGTGCACTGTGCATTTAAAACTATGAATCAATTGTTAAATAATATGAATACAACATACATGTGTAGTAGCATAAGTGAATTGTGCTAGTACAAAAAAACAAGTGTTATAGTGCACTAGTGATAAAACCCCACTAATGTGTGCAAAGTAGGGACAAAATATTAATACCTCACTTTTGAGAAAATTCTTGAAATTGCTTCTGCCAGAACTTCAATGCAATTCTCAAAAGAAAAAAAACAAACAAAACAAAACTCATAGGGCAATATACATAAACAAATATTGTGAATATAGATCATAAACACTCACAAAAGTAGAGCAATTAAGTCTGCTCTGAACTGTATTGGCATCTCAGATAATGTATATAGGAGCTTGAGACTGCGATGAACATAAAGATCCTTTATTACACACTCCAATAGTTAAAAGCAGTTGTCAGGCTTGTAAGTCCTCTTTACACGTCTCCTCCTCACAAGTGTAGTTAAGTCCCAAATACTCGCGCCGATTATCTCCAGGCTTCAGGGGCTATATGCACTTTCACTTGTTCCGGGAGGCGGGCTTACGGCCGTTGAACGTAATGACACGTTTCGCCGACGTGCTCAGCTTCATCACATCCGCCCACTTGTCCATCACAGTCTCAATATAAGGCATAAAAAAGGGGCGTGGCTGCCCAAAAGGTCCGTGAATTCTGCCTTGTGATAGGTTATCTTAACCAGGCATATTACCATACATAATAGATGCCATTTCCTACTTGAATCGAACTAAAAGGGAACTATTCACTAAAATGTTTACAAATACTCAGGAAATACTGCAATCACATGCAATACAATAAATGAAATAAATAAAAATAAAACAAAAATGCCCTTTTACAGTAAGCTTATCTCTCACTAGGAACAAATGTATATTTGTACACTGTACTAAATAAAAACTTATTCAAATATAAATCACTTATAATAGTACCTACTTTAGTAGAAGGAAGAAAGGAATAAAATTAGTTCATGTTAATTAGACAAGTTACATTAAATATATCTTATAAGCACATCTACAATGCTCATTTACATGGTATAGGCTAGAATAAGAAGTATAGGGAAAATTATTTAAAATAATTAAAATAGTTAGATAGCAAGAGATAAAAAAAAAGGAAGAGATAAAAGAGAAAAAAAGGGAATGTGCACCATATTATCCATCAACCCATAAAAAACTATTGGATTATTTTATAAAATTATAAAAAAAAAAAATGTTATTAAAAAATAAAAAATTATATATATATATATATATATATATATATATATATATATATATATATGAAACAAGGGGGGGTTGGCTGCACTCACCTTAACATGCATAAATGGGGGTGCTGCTGGGGCCAAATAATACAAAACACAAGATCCAGCGCACTCACCTATCCACTAAACAGCAACTTCAATGTTGAAAGATTTTATTAGTTTTTTAAAACACCTAATCTAGGCAAAAATAATGTATTATTTGGCCCCAGCAGCACCCCATTTATGCATGTTAAGGTGTGGTGCAGCCAACCCCCCTTGTTTCATAAGTATATATTTGGGAGTCTAGCCAACTCCTTGGTTTTGCACCCCTCCCTGTCACAGGTGCCTCATCCCAGGGCCCTATTTAGCCTTGTACTGCAGAGAGCCCCAGATGGAATTTTTTTCCTCAAGTAAGTGGTTAATCTCAAAAGAGCAGACATTAGGCTGTTAGTGTAGGACCTGCCAAAGATGGGGTACATTGACGTTGTGGCAGGCTTATGCAATGTATGATCATATAATGTAACTAAACCCCCATTATTTTTGCCTAGATTAGGTGTTTTTAAAAAAACTAATAAAATCTTTCAACATTGAAATTGCTGTTTAGTGGATAGGTGAGTGCGCTGGATCTTGTGTTTTATATATATATATATATATATATCTATATCTATATATATCTATATCTATATAGAAAATTTCTCTTTTATAAAATTTATGAAAAATAAAAAAGACCTCGTGGTTCTAAAGTTTTTAATCTATGAACCCACATCATTTCTTCTCTTCCTATTTTAGAAATATGATCTCCACCCCTATATGATTTTTTCACTACCTGAATTCCTAAAAAAATTAGGCTCCATATTATGCTTTGCTTTAAAATGGGCTGAGACACTATGAGTGACTCCCCTTAAAATATTATTTATATGCTCTCCTATTCTTTTGTGGAGTGGCTGTATAGTACGGCCCACATATTGTTGTCCACGTGGGCAAATTAACAGATATTACATTCCTTGTAAAACAGGTAATAAAATCTTTAATATCACTTTCATTATCACTATACTTACTTTTAAATTTATTTATACCTTTTAGGGTCCTATTTTTACTATATTTACATCCTGTATGTGGCGGAACCAACCTCGCCACTATGCACTGGAGAAGCCTGGTTGCTCACCTGCTCCCGTTAGACTATGGCCCTGCAGTTCAGACCTATTATTTTCCCTGCTGAAAGGTTTATTCGTGCCTTTCTGCCGAGGTGTTCGGTAGATTCTATCTACCGAACGATGGACAACCTGGGAACTGGAGTGTGCCGTCAATTGACCGCCCAGAAGCTGCGGTAACCGCAGCTTAATTGATGAACGCTGGGTGGCCTTTGTTCGGTTGCCGAACACGTGGCAGCGGCCATTTTACCTTCCGAACGGCCAGCGGTGTTCAGCGCCAAAACTATGGAACTGAAAACGGACACTTATTGGCGCGAACACCGCTGAGCCACCAGCCTCCTTACCTCTCCATTCGGTAGCGGAACCGAATGACTGTGCATTCGGTAGTTTAACTGGATGCACAGCATCACCCCAGATAGCTAAGCATGGAGCCTATTCGTGTAACGAAAGACTATGTGAAAGACTTTGGCTCCATGGCGATTGAACTGTGTGTATGTGATCTGAGCGCTATTCGGTAGTAATGTGCGCTCAGATCCAAGCTATCTGTGGATATGTAGAATGTATATGTTTTATGTAATAAATGTAACTGTAATTTCATGTCTTTTACTGTCTTTTTACTGACATGTGGTTAATGGAGTTTCTGCCTCTGTCCTTGGAGATAATTGGATTACTTCCCAATTATCTCCAGGACAGAGAGGAAGGATTGTGATGCATTGTGGGATTGTTGAAATGTGTAAGTCTGTGATTGGTTCTTGTACCCTTTGTGTCCCAGACTCCCATCTGGTCCCCTAGGGAAGTGTCCACCAGGTGGGAGACCTGCATAAAAGCCGGGCAGTTAGTCCCAGTAAACCAGATTCTGCTTAACCCTCAAACAAAGTGTCGTCTCGTTATTGGGGGAATTGGATTGTATGCTGACTGCCAGGAGTGTAAACCTTTCATATGGTTTTTCCT